TATATTTATATATTATATATATATGTATATATGATAAATATATCAAAAATGCATGTGGGTACTTAAATGAAAGGTCTCGATGAGTATAATGTCGGGGTGAGCTTATATCTTTAAAAATGTCAGTAGTTGACAAGATACAAGGTAATTTCTTAACTATTGATATTTTTAAAGATGTAAGCTCATTCCGATGTTACACTCATCAAAAGCTTTCATTTGAGTACCCACATGCATTTTTGATATATTTTTCATATATACATATATATAATATATATAAATATATGAAAAATTGATGTGGGTACTCAAATGAAAGGTCTTGATGAGTGTAACATCGGGATGAGCTTATATCTTTAATAATGTCAATAGTTTACAAGATACAAGGTCATTTCTCAATTATGTATCTAGAGATAGAGCGTTTTTGAATGCAGCCTAAATACTCATCATCATAAATTGACTATTGGTGAGAATGATATGAAACCATGAAAGGCACAACTCCAGGTCAAGACTTTTCCAACGATACCAAATTTAATCATAAAATTCAATTCTATGATATAAATACACTGGCCACAAAATTTCGCTTTTTCTCTTAATAATATAGATTAAAAATTTTTTTACACTTGTGACTGCATTTACCCTCTTGAAGTAATTAAATTCTAGATCCAAGTAATAAAAAAAATTTTTCACAGTAAAATACTGAAGAATCCTTAATGATTATCCAATCCTTGAATTTATATAATAAAGAGAAGTATATCTAAATCAGATTAATAGATTCAAGATAATTACATACTTAAAAGCCGACGGGATAGTGAGCAATAATCAACGCAAGCGTGATTGAGATAAAGTTGTTGTAGAGCATGAGAATGCTTTCTATTGCTTCGATCCAACAGTAGGATCTATAGTTGAGTTTTTTCAATAAGATTCATCTCAATTCTAATCTAATAAAGCATAATAAACAGCTATTAATTATTAACAGTTTATGTAACAAGATGTAATTTATCGTTTTTCAGTTGAAAATTCTCGGACTACTGATGCTCATCACAGGCTCTTCAGCAGCGCCTTTGGCAAGCGTTCATGTTAAATTTATTTCACCTCCCCATATTTACGAGCATCAACTAACTACTGACGGTAATAAATCAATTATTATTACTCAGTACTTTTCATTATTTCTTCATTCATTTTATTCTTCATTCATTCCGCCACTATTTTATTTAATTAAATTAAATTGTGATGTTCCGTAAATAGTATCTTGAATCATTAATTTTATTCGACGGTCGCTAATAATAATAATAAGACTAATTATTTTTAGGTCACAATACTATTGCACAGAAATCATTTTTGTCAATAGGCCGACGGTCTGCTGATTTTGCCAATAAATTATCATCAGGGTTCTTCAAGTCACCTGTTTCTTCTTTTGCCAGAAGAAATCCTGAAGCTTTGTGGCCAGATGGAGTTTTTATTAAGCCTGTTGATGTTAATGATTTGGGAATTAGTTCTCAGGATTCATCTCAATTTCATTCAACGCCTGATTTTTCAAATGGTCTAGGTACACTTATATTCATAATTTATTAATTTAATAATTTATTAATTTTTCTTATATTTCTTCACTTGATTATTGAGAGGCTATGTATAATTTAAAGATAAAAAAAATTTTTAATTATTTTAATTCTATTTTTATAATTCGCATAAATTTAAGTACACCCTCAAAAAAATTTTATGTCAATCCGACAAGTATTTTAAAAGTTATACTGATTTTTGTAAAGCCGTCCCGGAGCGGGCATTTTTTTCAAAACTGTCTTTTAAAAATTTTTAGCAGTCACTTGACAATTTTGTAATTTTATGTAACAACTAAACTAATTTAAAAAAATTTTTTTAATTTTTACATGTCAATTTTTTTGCTATAATTTATTTGTAAAAAAAAATTATCAAATATCTGCTAAATTAATTTTCATTTTATAAAAAAAATCACAATCAAAATAAATACAATTTTTTTTTTAATTGAAATCTTAAATTTAAACAAAATTTTCTTGGAAATATTTTTCCAGAAATTTATGTAAAAATTACTTAATTTTTTAAGAAAAAAATTTTTTTTTTAGTCTTCTAAGCGCGCATAAATAATTTCTTCAATGTTATATTCTAAATAAAAAAAAGAAAGAATAATTCTAAATAAAATTAAAAATAAAAAATTAATTAATTTTTTAAGAAAAAAAATTTTTTTTTTTAGTTTTCTAAGCGCGCATAAATAATTTCATTAATTTCTTCTTAAAAAAAAAAAAATAAAAAAACAATAATTATAAATAAAAATAAAAATACCATGTAATTATTGCAGCGTATCCAGATCCACTACTTTTGACAGATGAATCAGCAACGTCAGCAATAAGACATCTTTATGGCCGAACGGGGTTATTTTTCCATGAAATCCCGCATCTGAGATCATTACTGAGACTGCAGCACGAAAGACGATCAAATGGCCTTCAGGATAACGTACTAAGTAGCATCAGGCCTCAATCACCTTTCTACAATTCTAGCCTTTGATATAAGATTTAAGAACGTACTGATCAATCTAGGCTTTGCTAGATTAACGATTAGATTCCATTATTCATACATATTATATCCCACATTAGTTACATTTAGTCTACATACTCTACAATTACATATTTTAATTCTTAGAGATTGGTTAAAAATTCAAAATTTATTTGTACTTATATTTCTTCAATATTTACACAATACAGCTTTCATAACAGTCTTTTTAGGTGTTATATACTTGACATGAAGCATTTCTTCACTCGTCACTACACCAATCGCCGCGACACTAGCAATAGAAGAAGACCAACAATGAAGATAAGTTTGGGGGTTGTCGACGAGCTGCTATTGCATAAATCTCCGCGACAAAAGCACATGAAAACTTTTTTGTAATTTTTCAAAGTGTACGCACATCTTTCTTCATTGTCATCAGGTCCTCTTTGTAAACACATTCTTTGTGTTGCTGTACCGTACTCTGGAAGAAATATAGTTTTATTTTTAATTTTTAAATAAAATTATTCATTTTTATTCTTTAACATTATTATATTCATGTCAATTTTTTTAGTATTTAAATAATTTTAATTTTGACCTTCTACTTACATTCCTTGGCATTGAAATTTAATAAATAAAAATTAGAATTATTTTTTAGAAGTTATGAACACAACATATGACGTAATTTGCTTTTGAATCAAAATTCAAGGTCATGATTCTTAAATAAAAGTTGAAATATTTAATTACAAATTTTAAAGCTTGATATATCAAAACAAATAATAAAATTCTTGAGTCATTATAAATTAATTAGAATTTAAAAATAATAATTTTTTTGTCTGAAAAAATTTAGTTTTTATTTTGTTATATTTACTAGAAATTTAAATAGCGCGCTACGCGCGCGCCTTAATTTCGACCAATAAGGAATTAGGTCCCATTTTTTTGCGAGTATCGACTATTGACTAACTTCACACTCATGTATTTTGATTGTAGGGATAATTTTAATGATTAAAAAAAAATTATTAATAATTTCATATTTATTATAAGTAATTTTCATACAACCTGCATTGAAAATGCAAGTTTCAATGCCTATTGAGCCAACCGAAACAAGTCAATTTCAGACCAATGCGACTGTTACCGGGTAAGAATTAATTATTTCTTCCCGGCGGGCAGAAAATGATGATTTTCTGCCCGCGAGATGAAGTTACAGCTTTATTTTCAATACTATCAGAGTGTCTTCTGTTTATTTTATACCTTTATAATTGTCATTCTAACCGCTAATTGTACTGACATATTATAATTCTGTTACTAAGCATAAATAAGAATGACAAAAGAAAAACTATTCAATTTACGAATAATGTTTAATAAAAAATAAACAATTATTTTCTTGAATTGTAGTTTTTAATTTTCTTCTCTGGTCTGAAATCATTTTGTTTCATCCCTAGTTACACAATATACTATAGGGACCTATCCTCTAGACTGTCACGCCAACTGGTGACTTAAATGTACAAATTACTGGCAAAAATTTTGAATTTTGACATGAGTTTCACTTTTTATTAATTTGTATCTTAATAAATAGATAGATTTTTGACAGTATTTTCATCAATATAATTTAGTTATACTCTAGACTATACTAGAAATTTAAATAGCGCGCTACGCGCGCGCCTTTATTTTGACCGATAATGAATCGTGGCCTGTTTTTTGCGAGTTTCGACCTTTGACTAACTTCAAGACTTTTATGTATTTTAATTTAGAGGATAATTAGACTGGACTGAAAGTGTAAAATAAATTAACCACTGAAATTTTGATGATTTTCCCTGACTGGCTGTGGCTCGCGGTCGAAAAATGGTAGACAAATAACCTCGATAGAAGCGCAACTAGTGGGACATAACCTAGCGCTCATGTTTTCTGAGGTACTTAATTTTTTTTCTTCAACTAGATTCCATCAATACCCAAATTCAAATTTTTTTTAACAATTTCAATCGTTTCTGCTTTGAATGCGATCGGATGCTACCCGTTTTTTTTCATTATTATTTCATCAACAATTGCAATATTTTTGTGTAAACTTAACACCAGGGCGCGTGGCTTTCGGCTATAGTACTGCTTCTATAGTTCGATCTCAGTTCCTATTAAATAAAATTTAAATTTCCCGCCGCCCTGAAGTCTCAGTAGCGCAGTGGGCAGCGCGTAAGTCTCATAATCTTAAGGTCGTGAGTTCGATCCTCACCTGAGGCATTATTTTTTTTTTTTTATTTATAAAAATAGTTTAATTACTTTTTTTTTTGGATCCAAATAAATAATATTTAAATTTAAACTTAAAAAAAAAAAAATTAATAAATAAAAATTTTGACTGTGTAAATTGCAATTAAAAAAAAAATTTGTTTTTAATTTATTAGATTAAAATTTTTATCAAACTTGCTTGATAAATAATTCTAAAAGCGTACCATTGTTTAAATTAGGAGACTCAATAATTTTTCCGCACCAGCCAGAAGCGCAAGGAATAGCTTCAACTCCATGTTCCTTTTCAATAAGTGTGACGTTCAACTTGAAAGGATCCTTACACGAGCCGAGGTCTCCTCTCGACCTGCAGTTGACACATCTCCGTAGCTTTCCTGAAAGGTCATTCGAATAACTAAAAACTTATACATAAATAAAATAAAATTTCAATTTTACAAACTTATTTTTACTTCATAAATAATAAATTAATTTTCCAAAAAAAAAATTCAAAAATTATGTTTTAATTTACTTCAAACTAGAACGAGTTGTCATTGAACTCATCGGATGAGTGAAAGTAAATATCCGAATTCCAGGCTCAACTCACCGTCGACAGTTTTTAATCCTAGGATGGTAATCGCTAGAAAACAGACGATCCACTTGTTCATCATAACTTCTCAAAAATAAAACTAAAAAATTAATTTTATCAGAAATTCAAACTGTATAAAATTATTTTATTTAAATGCCGATAAATTAATCGACAGGATAATAAAAAAAACAAGCTGTTTTATTCAGTACACAGCCATGTTGGAAGACCGACTAAATATCTTCAGAACCAGAAACGGCCAATGTTTAAGGCCTTTCACTTTGTGTAATATGTGTGCATGCGCACTAATACCTTCAACCAATGAGCTAACTGTTGAATCAAACTGGTTAAATTAATATAAATATAAATATCTTTTAGTTAAAAGTCCACTGTCATTTAAATTAAAATCTAATCAACATTGTGCTGATTAGAAGAATTAATCGCCAACAGCTTCCTCCATCCACAAAAATTCCCGCTCTTCTTGGTCTTTTTTTTTACCACGCTCTTCCATGAATTTTTCGAAGGTATATTTCGGGTACTTGTGCCGGTTTCTCCAGAGTATGAAGACTCCTGCGCAGTAGCCGAAGAACGCTATTAGTAGCACGTATCCTAAGTACTTCATGTGTCGAAGAAAAGCTTGAAAAAAAAAAAATTATTTATCAAATTTTATTTTTTAAAATTTAATTTAATTTGCAATTTTTTAATTTTTGCCAAAAAATTACCTGGCGTAAAAAAGACTTCATTAGATCTTATATAAATCCTAAGCTGCAAAATCTTCTCACCGTCGATGTAACAAGTGTAATTGCCCTTCTCATTTTGAGTAACTTGGACGAGATAGAGCGTCAAAAAAGGATCAACGTGGGCGTGATGTTCATTTTCATTCTCAAATAAACTGTACACTGTTTTGATCCCCGGTTTCATAATGAGCCCGTCTTTTCTCCAGACGACAACCGAGTCCACATCTGCGTCAGGACACCCTATCGAAAAATGCTCGCCCTCCATCAAAGTCAACGTCTTTTTGTACTTAAATTTGTCTTTCCTAGCTTTCTTCTTCTTCTTGCAATTATCGCACGGTTGTTCTAATAAAAATTCTGGTAAATTTCTCACCGCTGCGCTTACTGCTGGAAACAGGAAATTTAACAAGACCGACCTGCAAGGCAGCAGCGGAGATCTTGTGAAGAAAAATTCAAAGTCTCCATTTTTTAATATTGGTTCCTGGAAATTGAAATAAGGTAAAAGACCTCATTAGTGACACCTTTAACCCCTATTAGGGCACAGTAAAAAATTTTGCGTCATTGCGTCAAAAAACTTAGTGTTAAAAATTTTTGTGTTAAATATTTTTAACACTAAGTTTTTTGACGCAGTGACGCAAAATTTTATACTGTGTGGCACTTTTTCTTTCAATGAAAAAATGTTCTACACGGAAAAAAAGTAAACTGTAATATTCACTCGGATTCCGGTTAGTTTTTATAGTTTCAAACAGTAATGCGGACATCGGGGTGGCAAAAATGTAAATATTACAGAACTTAATGTAGAAAGTATAAAAGCCATAATTTATAATTTAATATCCAAAATAAGTGATTAGTAGTTATCACTATAGTAAATAACGACTCTTTCATCTTTAAAAATTACAGTTTCAAACAGTAAAAATTGCCATTTCAATATATAGTCGATATTATGAAGAGAAGGGGAACTCAGATGAAAGAGAAGGGGGTCTCACTCTGGGAGAATTTAACATTTGAAACAGTAAAAATTATACTTTTAAAATATACATTTTACCAGTCCAAGCAAGTCAATAATTACAGTTTGATTTTTAGCGTTGCGTTTAAAATTTATCATTTTACTTTGTAAATATTGACGTTGCTTGTATTAGAAAAATTTACTAACTTTATTTTATACTTTTTACATACCATAACATCATTTTTTATAAGTACGAAATGATAAATATTAAAGTCTGAATTCTTAATTATTATACTTTAACATTTTAGACATTTACATAGCGAATATTACTGTTTGAAATAGTATTTTCTTCCATGTAAAGAGTGAATTGTAACGTTTAAATTGTGAATATTACAATGTGAATCGTAAAATCACGATTTTACTGTTTGAAATGGTAATTTTGAGCAGTTGATCATTACTTATTATAAATCGAGTGTTATTTATTACAGTTTACTTTTTTCCGTATACTTGGAATAAAAATTAAATATTTTTTTGATCTAAAGATCTTAAAAATTAGAAATAATATATATTCATTATTAAAATTAATGATTTCATTAATTGAATAAGTACCAAAATCAAAGAAAGTGTCAGTAATGGGGTCTTTTATCCTACTTTCATTGAAATTGTAATTTATACTAATATTATAAAGAGGAAAGATTTGTTTATTTGTTTGCATCAAATAGGCTCCGAAACTACTGAACCGATTTGAAAAATTCTTTCACTGTTGGGAAGCTACACTATCCTCGGGTGACATGGGCTTTATTATATTTTCAAATTTTTGTTAAATACCCGTGCGAAGCCGGGGTGAACTGCTAGTTAATAATATTTTATATTTCTTACGGCAGATGAAATGCGACTTCTTAGTCGACATTGAGCAAGGCTGGTCTTTATGCCTCTGTTTTCTGCGCATCTTGCGCAAGAAGTCCATGGTGACCACTCGGATATCACTTCTAGAATTATTCCAGCTTCGCGTATCTTTGCCAGAGGCTTCATTAATGATACCTATTGTTAACAGTAATTATTGATTTTATTGATATACTTTTTGTTGTTCATAACATAGAAAAAGATCAATTATTTGATGAATGATAATTTAATAATTTTCATAACAAATTAATTTATTATAAAAAAATACTTAAAAAAATTAACATTTATAATTTTTAAAAATTTTTTCAATTTAGTATTATCAATTATACTTACAGCAAATCTATGAGCTACAGGAACTAAATTTATTTGTCTATATTCTTCATAATCTGTCAAATTTCCATAATGAATTTTATCACGAGTTTGATTTCTTTCAAAAATCGCTAAAAAATAAAAATAAATAAATTTATTTATTTAATACTAAGATTAAATAAAATTATTAAATAAAAAATTTCCAACATCGTGAATATAAAAATATTTAATAAATAAATATTTACGTTCGAGCCGATAATTAAATTTATTTTCTACATCCTCTCCCAATTGTCCATGACATCTATAAATTCCAGCATCTTCCTTTTCAAAGCTCATAAAAACCAGATCAAAATCCGAAGTCAAGTGAATACGATCGTAAGACGCGTTATTGTTCATATCGAATTGAACTTCAACTTCAGCAAAATCTTTAAATCTGTCTTGCACGTACCACAGTCTTGCTTCTTTGTTACTCGACTCTTGACTGTCAACAATTTTTATTATTATTATTATTAATATTATTATAATCATATTATTAAAAACACTTGTAAATACCAAAAATGACACTGAAGTCTTATAGTTGAGCCAAGCACAGCATCAACTAACAGATACTCGTCCAAGGTATCCGAAACAATCAACCGGTCTTTGTCTCTGCAATAAAATTCTAATGATTCTGTGTAAATAGTATTCGTAATTATTATATAAATATTCATCGTAGTGAAGATGATTTTAAATATAACCATAATCTGTCGTGAGGCGTCATTTTAAATGTGTATGTTATTGACAATTTAGAACAAAACAAAACACCCTTCAAATGTTTTTTTTTTTTATTCAAAACTTAATTGATATTTTTTTATGACAGACATTATAAAATTAGTTTATAATTTCATAGCAGTAAAATAATTGAAAAAAAAAAATTCTACATTTGAAATTAAAAAAAACATTTATTAGAGTAAATTTTTAGAAGTATTTTTATTATCTATATTATTAAGAGAATAAGCAAAATTTTATGGCCAGTGTATTTATATGATAAAATGGGTTTTTATGGTTGAATTTGGTATCATTAGAAAGATCTTAATCTGGAGTTGTGCTTTTCGAGGTTTCATATCATTCTCACCAATAATAATAGTCAATTTATGATGATAAGTATTGAGGCTGCATTCGAAAATGCACTATCTCTAGTTACATACTTAAGAAATAACCATTTATCCTGTGAAATATTGACACTTTTAAAGATATAAGCTCATCCCGACGTTGCACTCATCAAGACCTTTCATTTGAGTACCCACATCAATTTTTCATATATTTATATATATTATATATATGTATATATGAAAAATATATCAAAAATGCATGTGGGTACTCAAATGAAAGCTCTTGATGAGTGTAACATCGGATTGAGCTTACATCTTTAAAAATATCAATAATTAAGAAATGACCTTGTATCTTGTCAAATATTGACATTTTTAAAGATATAAGCTCATCCCGATGTTATACTCATCGAGACCTTTCATATGAGTACTCACATCAATTTTTCATATATTAATATATATGTATATATGAAAAATATATCAAAATGCATGTGGGTACTCAAATGAAAGCTCTTGATGAGTGTAACATCAGGATGAGCTTATATTTTTAAAAACGTCGATAGTTCAAAAAGTACTGTGCAATTTAACAAAAGTCATTATTTAAAACAACTCAAAATTTCATTTCTTTATAGTTTACAAGTCACAGCAGTCACAGTGACTGCAAGGTTGCTAATTGTAATAAATTTTTAATAAAAATTAAAAAAATCGACAACTGTCAGCTAACTTTACTATCTTATTTTTTACAGTCATATTTTTATGAATCTGAAGATCAAATTACTGTAAAAAAATATTTTACAAAAATAAAATACTCTTTATTGTCACATTTAAAAAATGTGACAGCTGACTGTAAAAATGATTTATTTTTAACAGTTCAATAATCTTACCGCTGAATTTTTAATATCAGCTGTTTAATGTTATTATTTAATTAAAAAAAAAATCTCAAGTTTAACATTTTAGAACTAAACCTGAGTATCGATATTTGTGTAATATAAATAAACCTTTTATAGATTTAAAAAACAACTTTCACCGCCATCTAGTTGTCACCTTCGTAACTAATTTTCAAAACTTTAAATTTTATTTATCTAAATAATAATAACAAGTGTTTATAATAATGTTTTCTAAGCTCCAAACAAATTCATTAGTATAAATTAATTTTTACAATATTAACTTCATCACTCACTTGTTTCCAGACCGTCATTTTTTTTAATTAAACAATGCACTTTGCCTCAATTTAAAAAAATTCATTTAACAAGAATAAGTGAAGTAAAATTTTCGTGTGGAAAAAATTAATTACTCAGGTAATTATAAAGTAAAATAAATAAAGTAATAAATTTTATTTAAACAAAACTTTGATCGATAATTAATTAATAAATAAATAATATAAATAAATGACATAAAACCGGAAGTGGACTTCAACATCCACCGCGCAGATATTGCGCATGCGTGAGAAGTGACGCGCAGACGCCAAAGTAGGGGCGCGGGGTAATGAACATGCTTTGGCGGAAACACGTACCCATAATGCCTCAGTTATTATAATAGAAATGGCCGACACGATTGAAAGTAAGTTTATTTTTATCATATTTACCTTTTGATAATTATTTATTTATCAGTATTTGTAACATTAAAAATTACGTGTACTTAGTTGTCGAAAATCAGTGTTTAAGTGGAGCAATAATTTTAGCGGGTGCACGTTAGTATTTTTCGGTGGTTGTAATTTAACAAAATCAACATCGTATGTGTTCAAAATTTCAAAAATGACCAATGCAGAATTCAAGCGGGACCGTCGTATGCTCGAGCCCGTACCATCAGCTAGTCGATTTATCGAACAATCGTTTTGTATAAATACTTATTAGTAATATTTTTTTTTCTAAATGTTAAATATCATAATTATTGATGTTATTTTATTCAATTATTTGTTTTTTATGTTAAATCAAGTCCGCTATTTTTTTTTCTAGGTTTGTTTTTAAAAACCTAACCGTCAATAAAGTGTATTTTGTTTTTACAACTCGGGTTTAGTACAGCGAGCCCGTTGGTTATGTTGGAGATATAATTGTGCAAAATATTATATTGTCACTTGATGTTTTTTAAATTTAGATTTAAACGTCAATGTCACTTTTTTTAGTTTTGTAATTATTTTATTGAATTTTTGTTACTTTTTTTTATTTTGTTCGCTTCAGTGAAAAAATTATTTTTATCGGAGAATATTCTAAAGATATAAATTAAGTACGGAAAAATAATTTTGAATATTTATATAAAGATTTTTTGTTAAATTTTAACAATCATTTTTTATAATTTAATTTAATTAATATTGCAAAAATTAAACAATTTCACAATTTGTCAATAATTATTTAAATTAAAAATATTTAATTTTTAAAAATTAAAATTAATTTAGAAATTTTTTAAACGCACATTTTTTATTAAAATTTTTTCATTTCAATTATTTTAAAATTCTATTGAAAAAAAATTAACAATAATAATAATTGATATTTTAATTTATTTTGCAGACGAGTCAGCAGAAACTTTGCTGTCGATGAAGAATGGTGGTTTTCCGAAGGTGGACGAGATAAAGCAGGAGAAACGGGATGAGGATGACGAGGAAGAGATGGACATAGACGAGCACTCTTACGGTAACAATTCGATGGAGATGGACGAAGAGGACTCTGAGCCAATGCCTGAGCTGGGACCAGCTGCACTAGGGCTTCAGAGAGTTGGAACTAAGCCTCCTCCAAAGAAGGCTAACCCACCTCAGCCGGTCCAGGTTTTAAACAGACGAGGGATGCCTGCGAGAATTCGAAAGAAGAATAAATTATTTTACGATGATATTCTTGTCAATCATCCTCATCACAGGTATTTATTTCACATAAATTATTTATTAAAAATTATTAAAATTTTTTTTATAAATTTTATAATACTGAAATTAGCAGGCATCAGACAATTTTTTGAATTTTTAAAAATTCACACTTGTAATTTTTTAAAAATTTTAATGTGAAATTTTTTAAATAAAAATTCAATTATTAAATGTCTGGTAAATTTAGTCTTATTAAATTTTTTTTATAACTAAACTTTAAAAATAAAAATAAAAATTATTATATTTTTTTTTATTCTACAAATTTACAATTTTTTTTTATAAATTTAATACTAAAATTAGCAGACATCTGACAATTTTTTAAATTTGTATAATTAACCCTTGGAGTACAATGGGGGTCATTTCGACCCCAGAATTTTTTTTGTCCTGAAATATTTCTCGAAAATAGGTTCGTTTTTAATTAATTTTTTTAACATTCAAAATTATTTAATTCAGAATAATAATGACTGTATTTAAAAGAGCATTGTTTTACCTACCAAAAATGTGATAACCTGAATTCCGATAAAAATACATAGTTTCTGAAATTAAATTCTCCGAAAGTCAAGTCGGGTCAATTTGACCCTGTGTGTACTCTAAAGTTCTGTTCGGAGGTGTGTACTCCGAGGGTTAATTATAAAAAAATATCTTAAGAAAATTCACACTTGTAATTTTGCACGCCTCATAGCGCGAAGCGCGTGAGGTTGTGCTTTATACTCGACTCGTTAAGATCAAGCAATTTTGTGATCTTTAAATGTCTCTATCACAACCATATTACACTTATACAATGATATAAGTAGATGTACACCGAAAAAACACTTAAGGAGGTCCTTTCGCCGCCAATGTAAAATAAAAAATATTAGATTATGAGTAAATTCAATTTTTTTCTAATAGTTAAGGTCTTTATTTATCTAATAGTGAGGTTTAAATTATACTTTACCGGACAAATTTTTGAAAAAATAAAATTTTTAAATGTTAGTATTTGTTCAGAGTCTTACGAGAAAGTCAGACGTATATATATATATATATATATATATATATATATATATATAAGAAATATTCATTCTCGGATCGATGACTTAAGATTATTAGGTCAAAGCTCGCGAAAAAATTTCTTTAACCAGGTCATACATGGCCATATCACGCTTGTATGAGAATAAAGAAATAATTTGTTGTGGTCTTTCAATTTTGCACGCCTTATAGCGCGAAGCGCGTGAGGTTGTGTTTTATACTCGACTCGTTAAGATCAAATAATTTTGTGATCTTTAAATGCCTCTATCACAACCATATTACACTTATACAATAATTAAAGTATATGTACACCGAGAAAACACTTAAATTAAACCATCTGTTACTTTCTAAAATCATTTCATGTTGCTATTTTGAAAAAAAAAAAAACGTTTTGAAAAAAATTTCACGTGGACGTCCGGATGTCACCCCATTTTGGATGTACCAACGATTACTCCCGAACAAATTGATATTTCAAGACCGGATCTTTTTTATTAGTTTAAGAATTCGATGAAATGGGTCCGTATTGCATATCAGTGGCCTAGCTTACGTATTTTTTTTTTAAATTGAATTTTTATTAAAATTTACTACGATACAACCGTACAAAGCTAAACGAACTTTCCTTATTTGTCACGTGAAAACTATGGCGCTACTTGATCAAGCTAGATTTTTTTAGACTGCGTGCGCGCATGACAAGAAGAAAGGGCGCCGATATTTAAAAAAAAAAAATAAAAAATACTTTGTAAGAAATTACTTAATTTCTTAATTAATTAATTTTTTTCTTAAAAAATGAATGAGCGTTATGAGGCGTGCACTTTTGGATTTTCCAAACTTTTTTTAAAAATTTTAACGTGAAATTTTTTTAATAAAAAATTAATATTATTTACATTTTTATCCATAGTTCACAATACATTCATTCGGTTCTTGTTTTAAAGATATTTAATATTTGACGTTTATTTAAATAATATAATAATAAATAAGTTTTATTTGTATCACATAAGTGTATTATATAAAGATTTTTTTATGATGAAATAATCTCTTTTTTCAATATTTCTTTCTCTTATCTTAACATAAATTTTGGTATTCACTATTTCTACTTTGCATTGCAGATGATGTTTATTTAATTTTCATACAACATTTCGCTACTTTCGCAGCTACCTCAGGTACTAAAATTATTATTACTGTCTGTTGTAATACCTGAGGAAGCTGCGAAAGTGGATAAACATTGTATAAAAATGAAACAAACATAAAATATTAAATATCCTTAAAACAAGAACCGATTGAATGTAAAAATTTAATTATTAAATGTCTGATAAATTCAGTATTCTTATTTATTTTTTTTAAATTACAAACTTGAATTTTAAAAATAAAAATAATTTCCAGAATAAAAAAAGAACCAGGAACCCCAGAGGTAAAACAATCACCCCGTAGAATGTTAAAACCATCTTCAGCGAAGAAGCCCCCAAAAAGTCCAGCAGTTGAGGAGAAAAAGAAGCCAGAGCGTGAAAAGCCAGTCCCTCCTCCACCGACACCTCCTCCACCACCAGCACCAACCCCATCCAAAGTATCCTCCGTGAAAAAAGAAAAGGACAAGGACAAAGACAAAGACAAGGAAAAGGAAAAAGAAAAAGACAAGGAAAAAATCAAAGAAAAGACCCGGGAGAAGGAAAAAGCAAAGGAACCCATAAAGGCCGTCAGACCGAGTTCTCCAGACCGCAGAATCGGGCAGAAGATCGGTATGAGACTTCGAAACCTGCTGAAGCTGCCAAAAGCCCACAAGTGGGTCTGCTACGAGTGGTTCTACAGCAACATCGACAAGACACTGTTCGAGGGCGACAACGACTTCATGATCTGCTTGAAGGAATCTTTCCCTCAGCTTAAGTCGCGCAAGCTGACCCGAGTCGAGTGGTGCAAAATCCGGAGAATGATGGGGAAGCCCCGTCGCTGCTCTCAATCCTTCTTCGAGGAGGAGCGGAAGGAGCTGGAGCGCAAGAGACAGAAAATCCGGATGCTCCAGCAGAGAAAGACTGGAGACGTGAACAGCTTCAAGGATTTGCCGCCGGAAATTCCTCTCCAGCTGGTGATTGGCCAGAAGGTCACTGCGAGGCTCAGGAAGCCTCAGGATGGTTTGTTCACCGGAAGCATCGACGCCGTGGACACCAGCAACAACACCTACAGAATAACCTTCGAGCGAGGCGGTCTGGGTACTCACAGTGTCCCGGATTATGAAGTCCTGTCCAACGACCCTCCGGAGACTATCAGTGTCTCGTCGTTCTCCCAGAAATTCCGACCTAGACACATCAGCTACGTCCCCTCGCCTCCTTACGCTCTCAAGTTGCGCTCTCCGAGGGTCAATAATGATCCGCTGATCTCCAACGCCGCCATACCCTCGGCCAAGAAGTCCCAGCTTGGCGGCGTGATCAATGGCTATCCGATAAGACTGCTGGATAATATTGTCAAAGTCACCAAGATCTTGAACGCCAAGAAATTGAGGATCCAGAAGATCAAGGAGATGAACACTGCTGCGGAAAAAAGTAAGTCCTTTGGGGATGAATTGCCCCAGGATTTTGAACGCAAGTACGCGGCTATTGTTGTTGAGCTGGAGAAAATGAACGCTAGCTTGCAGGATTACTTGAATGATGTTCAGGAACTATGTCAGGAAATTGCTCCGGAGCCGAGTATTGCTGCGATGCTTGCTCCGAGTCATTTGAGAGAACGGTGCAGGCAAGAAGCTGCTGATATGGTTTCTAGGCATAATATTATGAGTGATAAAGGACCTTCTAAGATGGACCAGCTGGTTACTGATTTAACTGCTTTGATGCTTCAAGTCAAGGTAATTTTTTTTTTTTTTTTTTTATTTATTAACACTAAAATTAGCAAACAATACAATTTTTTTATTTTATTAATTTAATTATAACTAAGGGCGTATAATAAAAATTTGATTTTTTTTCTAAGTTCAAAAAAAAATTTTTGTTTGGAGAAAAATTTTTTTTTGCATTTCTGTACGTTTTATTCAAAAATAAGTTGATTCTCGACAAAAAATTTTTTTTACGCTGTTATATGGACGGATAATAAAAATTCTACTTTTTTTAAGTCCAAAAAAATTTTTAGTTTGGAAAAATTTTTTTTTTGCATTTCTGCAAGTTTCATGAAAAAATTCGTTGGTTCTCAAAAAAAAATTTTTTTTATACGCCCTTATGGCTTTTCACCGGAACCTTTTGCTGGAAAATTTATGTTTAAATGTATGTTAAATTCAGTATTATTTTATTTCATAATACTAAAGTCAGCCGACTTTTTTTAATTTATTAGTTTTTTTCTAATCATTAAATTAGAACTAAAAATTATTTTTAAAAAATTACACCTATAATTTTTCAAGTTTTTTACAAATAAAATTTTTTTTTGCAATAATTTTTTTAATAAAAGAAATTCTTAAAATTTTTAGATGTCTAACTAAATATTATTTTTTTATTATTCAAAATTAATTAATCAGCTCACGTGGTTAAATTAAAATAAAAATAGCTTTAATATAAACAAAAAAAATTGTACAGCTTTATACTTAATTGTGAAAAAAAATTTTTTTAATTTGTTGAGAAAAATTTGTCTAATAATTTTAGTTTTTTTTATTTATTATTAGATGGTTGGAATTTTTTTAGACAGAATTTATAATTTAAAAATGTATTTTTTCAGTCACTATCAGACTCTGACCGCAACGCCTACGAGTTGAAAGTCCTGCAAGGTACAATGGAGCAAATCAGATCAAAATTGAACCCCAAGAACCAGCAAGTATTTCAAAATTGCGTTGAAATTCACATGAAACACATTCAACTTGGCCTTGGACAAATGGGAGGATTGACGCCGTTCATGGCTCCCAAAGCTTAGATAAACCAATTAATTTTTTTTGCTGCAAATTTTATTTTATTTTATTTAAGCAACGCTGTTATTAATTGCCGGTGGAATTTTTACGGCTGTTAAAGAATTATGTAAAAAGTTTATCGATATGAATTAATGATAATAAATAATACTTTCTTTTTTAAATTAATCGAGTGACTAATTTTAATGATCGAGCAGGTTTAAATTTTCTTGTGAATGATTAAGTTGATGGTTCAATTATTTACTTAGTGTTAAAATCTAGAATTATTGTACACTTTTATTGTCAAATAAATGTTATAAATAAAACGCACTGTATATTTATAACAATATATATTAATACCAATAATTATTGTAATGATTAGTGATATTGTAAAAATTAATTAAATTTGATAAAAAAATTTTTCAAATTATTTTTAATGGTGTTTTATTATTATTAATAATAACAATTTAAAATTTTCAGCTAAATATTAAAAAAAAAAAACGAATTTTATTTATTGTTTTTATTATTATAATTATTTACATAATCTTAATTTGAGTTACAAATATATCAATAAAAAATTAAATTATCTAAATTTATTTATTCAGTGCGCTCAAATTAATTATAATTAATAATAATTACTGAAAAAAAATTCAAAGTATTTTAAATCGGCAAAATTTTTACGTATTTTAAATTTAAATTAAAAGAAAAATTATTTAACAATAATTATTATTATTGTTTAATAAAAATAAGTTTTCAATGTGTAATTTTTGATTAATTAATTAAGAATAATAATATTTTATTATAGTTCTTAAATTTTTATAATTTATTTAAATACAATTACAGTATGAATTTAAATTATTCCAGAACTTACAATTAAACAAAATAAGAGTTCAATTGGATGAATAATTTTGTTACTTTTTTTGTCTACCGATAAATCGATACTCCAAAAAAAAATTTTATTAATCATTGTAATTACATAATACAAAACCTATTTTTTATTACTCTCTAAAGCCTCCAGAAGTGCATCAGCGTCTTCGGAAGTCTTAACCCTGAGGTAAACCGGAACTGGAGGAGGTTTTGAGTCAGCAAGGGGCAAGCACATCAGCATCACTGTGTTTTTATTAATTTTCTTAGTGGGAACAGCTTTGGTCAGCAAGGTGTTGAGCAGTAAGTTCCCAAGAGAGGTCTCAGCGCGTACAATCAGTTGTGTTTTTTCATTCGGCGTGGGCTTGAGGAAAAGAACTCCAATTCCGCGGTCGCTGAATGCGCCAGTTTCTTTATTTTTCAGATAAACTTTGCACCTTTTTTCATAAATGGCTCCTTCTTCAGTGATAGGCTTAATTTCAACCTTCGGAGGCTCATCTTCATCGTCTTTATCTTCATCCCTGTTTTCCTCGGGAACGCGCTTGCCGATATTGAAGCCATGAGACTTCCCTGATCCAAAAGTGAAGCTTGCTTGGGATCCTGAATTAGTACTTCCGAAGCTGAACAGCGAAGTTGTCTGTGGGAATGTCAGAGATTTTTTTTCAATTGAACTAGAATTTTTATTTTTATCTTTATCTGAGTCCGCTTCTTTATTGCTCGACGGCTCTTTGGCCGAAGATGTCGCGCTGGAAATTCCGCTGAAGATACTTTTGGATTGCGTTGATCCAAAGATAGAAGCTGGTGGCTTGTCACTCGGCGGAAGTTCAACAGAAGTTGATGCTGATGAAGATACCGAGGCTGAAGTTGACGCTGTGGATTGACCAGATGTGAAAATGCCACTTGGACTCTTTTTCTTTTCTTCTTCTTGGCTAGACTTTTCTTTTTCGCAAGACTTGCCGTACTGGGTCTGGATTATCTTGAGATGATTTTCGTAGTCGCGGAAAATTGGAGATAAAATGCAAAACGCGTTAGAGTCCACGTGCGTCTTTATCCACTGGCTCACGCTTTGGTTCAGATCCTTTAGCTTCGTGTAGTACTCGGACGACATCGCGAATATCTCCTTGTTTTTGTTTGCAGCTTCCTCGATCTTGTTGGTGGACTTGGTGATGATGCTGCTGGGGGTGGCGGTGGTGGTAGTGGTGGTTGGCTTCGAAGAGTCGTTAAGCTTAGTGCTGGATGGTGAAGAGAGGCCGTTGTCTGTGGCTTTTGTACCGTTGGTAGTTGGGGTTATTTTTGAGAAAATGCTGGTAGTTTTTGTCGCCGTGGAAGTTGGTAAGCTGGCGGTCGTCGTGCTTGATTTGCTCAGGAAGCTGAATGCTGATGTCGGCGCTGCTGAGGATACTTTGAAGCCGGAGAAACTACTGAATGCGTTCTTTGTTGGAGGAGCCTGGAAGAATTTTTTGTTAGATTAAAATTTTTTTTTATTATTGATCGATTTTATTTTTTGATACTGAAGTTAGCTGACTGTTTTTGGATTTTTTATAACCAATCAATTATAAAATAAAAAAGAGACCAATCGGCAGCCGAAATGGAAGTAGATTTCTCGAATAAAAAATTATATTTTTTATAAAATTATGTTAATAATAATAAACAACTTATATTGCAAGAAAAAACTATGACATCAAAACGAATGCAAAAGTAAAATTTCTACTTAAAAAAGTAGAGAAAGTAGGTAATTTTTGGCCTAGACTGATTAAAGTTTATTTAATAAGCTTTCAGATGCAATTTACAGAATTTTGATAGGATATCGCGTTCAATTGTAATTGTAAAAGTGAAAATTTTTGCGATTTTTGAAATGCTGCCCAATTTCTAAACACAGTAACTGATAATTTTAAAATTTTTCTTATTAAAAAAAATTTTGCGCGCCAAATTGATAGAAAATTTGATTTATGAATAGAAAATACTTGGATATAAATATTTTTAAGGAGGTCCTTTCGCCGCCAATGTAAAATAAAAAATATTAGATTATGAGTAAATTCAATTTTTTTCTAATAGTTAAGGTCCTTATTTATCTAATAGTGAGGTTTAAATTATACTTTACCGGACAAATTTTTGAAAAAATAAAATTTTTAAATGTTAGTATTTGTTCAAAGTCTTACGAGAAAGTCAGACGTTTGCAGTATTTCTCAAATTATACTATCAGTCATGGATTAGATGAAGTAAAAAAAAAAAACTAAAAATTAGATTTTCAAAATATTCAGGTTTCTTTTTTTGCAATAAAATAAAATTTTTCCAATAAAATTTCTTTAAAAGTAACTGATTCTCTGTTGCTTCAGGAACTTATTGTTTTGAAACTTATCTTAGATTCAAAAGTTCTTCAATTTGGAATAAAAAAAATTCTTAAACCAAGAAAATCATTGGGAATAATTTCAACGTCTTGAATTAAGATAAAAAATTCTTGAATCAAATAAAATTTATTTAAACAAAGAACTAATTCTAATTTAAGATTTTTTTTGCTTGATTTAAAGCAAAGCAACTCTTTAAAATCATTTTAATGGTTCAAGAATTTTTCTCTTGAATTAAGTTAATTTTTTTTTTAAATATATGTGAGATAGGACTGAGCATCATTTTACATAGCTGTATATTATTATTATAGAAGTATTAATAATGTAACATAGTTATTATTTCCAAAAAAATAGTATTTTGTTTTTTTTAATAAACTAGCAACCTTGCAGTCACTATATGACTGCCGTGACTTGTGAAATACAGATAAATAAAATTTTGCTTTATTAAATAATGATTTGTTGAATTGCATTGTACTTTTTTAACTACTGACGTCTTTAAAGATATAAGCTCATCCCGATGTTACAATCATCAAGAGCTTTCATTTGAGTACCCACATGCATTTTTGATATATTTTTCATATATACATATA